CGCCTGCTAGCATGGTGTATTGGTAGCTGCTTTCAGGCCTTACACTGGGCTGACTCCTTCCTTCCTTGCTAACAAGTTGTCCTCCCAAGGAGACGTTGAGGCAGTAGAGATCCTCCTATTCAGCAATCTGCTTGTAGGTAGGCGTCCCTCTCTGGGGCCCCCTGCCAGGCTCAACACTCCAACCTTCTCAATACATACATCTTCCACCCGACTCCCCTCTCTCCCCAGAGGGTTATATTTGAGGGTTGCCCTGGTCACCATGCCCGGCCTCTTGTCAGGGGATTGGCCAAGGTCCCTCAAACATGCAGATCTTCCTCCCCTCCTCCTCCCCTGTTTCAGAAAGTTCTCCAGATTCTGGAATCTTGGGAGGGCTCCAGAAGCCATGACCTGTAAAACCTCCCAGTCTGTCCTGAGGTGAACTCCTGCCTCACTCCCAGGCTGCTACTCAGCCTCTATCTTAAAAAAACAAAAAAAACAAAACCTATCTAGCCAACCTGTATGGTGTTACATCTTGTAAATGGTTCCTAAGAGAAACTCTAACTTTACAGAGTCTTCTGGTTTCCTTAAGGTCAGATTTCACTAAGCTTTTCTAAAGGACCAGTGGTTGTTCCCAAAGTGTATTTTCACTTCGCAAAGTTAATGCTAGAAGGTAAGATGAAACAAATAAAATACCAATGCCTTATTTGCATTAGAACATCCTTTTTCTTCAGGGCTCATTCACACCATAACGCTTTTCAGTTTAATGTGTGCAGTGTTGTGTGTTGATGTGCACTGTGTTGCATTATGTAGTCTATTCAAATTGAATAGGCTGAAACACATAGAAGCGCATGTGAAAATGGAGGAGGAGCTTTTTATTGCAGCGCATTGCACAGGATATCATATGTTGTGCTGCCCTAAAGCATATGTGAACCCTGACCTTGTAAGACAACCCATTCCGTTTAAAATAAAAATAAAAGGCAATACTATTGTGTATACATTTTAACCACTTCAAGTCCAGACACTTTCACCCCCTTCCTGTCCAGGCCAATTTTCAGCTTTCAGTGCTATCACACTTTGAATGACAATTGCGCGGTCATGCAACACTGTACCCATATGAATTTTTTTGTATTTTTTTGAGACAGCTAAAACTTTATTTTGGTGTTATTTATTGACCAAACACAGCTCTCACAGTATTTCTCAATGGCTGCAAGAATGCAGCCAGAGAGAAGGAGACATTATTGCTTTTACAGCATTTATGGGTGTAAAAGCAATCAGTGTAAAAAAAAGAAAAAAAAATCTTCATCACCCCCCACAAGCAGTAAAGTGTCACTATGGTGACACTGTACTGCTAGGGTGACAGTATGTTAAGAAAAAAACATATATAATAATATAAAAAAAAATTAAAATGTAAAAAAATGTTTTTGAAAAATTATAATTTTTGGTTATAAACTAATTTGTTTTTTTTTTCTTTTTACTAAAGAGATAGCTGAATACATTTTGGCCAAGATTTATGAAGAAAGATTATTTATTTGCAAAATTTTATAAGAAAAACACTTTTTTAAAAATTTTTTGGGACTTTTTCATTTATATGGTTTAAAAAAAACATTATAAATACTTTTTTTTTTACAAGTGATCACATAATCTCTGCTCTCAACTGCATAAGGGGCCTTGATGGGTGGGGGTGGAGAAACAGCAGTACACTAAGGCTGGCCATACATTGTACAATTTTCTTGAGATTTTTGGTTTAGATTTACCAAAATCATATAATAGGAGGTCAAACTTAACAACACTTTCAATTGTATCCAATTAGGCAGGCTCTTGCACTACATAGTTGAAGGCAGGGGCGGACTGACCATTTGGAAACTCGGGCACTGCCCGAAGGCCCGGGGTCAGTAGGGGGCCCCATGAGATGCCCCTGGTATCTTTTTCATAGGCTTTTTTGAGTTTGGGCAAGGACACAGGGGACCCATGATCCCCTATTGCCCGGGGGCCCCATGAGTTGTCAGTCCGCCCCTGGTTAAAGGTAAATCTAAAGGAAATTGGGCAGAAAATTGTATAGTGTATGGCCAGCCTAATTTTCCCAGTGAATGGCTGTGCAGGGGGGCATGTCAGCACAAGTCTGACCATTGAATGACAGGCAGACTGTGCTCCCAGCACAGCCAGAAAATTGATCACGCTGGGATGGATGTGCTCTCTGGCCTAGCGTAGTCAGTTTTTAACAGGAAAGCAGAGGCATTGGCAGGAACACCAGGGATTTCACACAAGTACTAAGAGAACAGGATACTTTTTAACACAAGTACATGGTACAGCATACACATCAGGAAAATAAAATTTGGGGTTACATACACTTCAAAGAACGTGTATGTTTTGAAAGTGCACTGGGGTGCCATTTATGATCAATGGCACTACAGCACACTAACACATGTAACCGGCAGCACAAATGTATGACCCCAATGATTGTTAAAACTCATCCCTTAGGCTACAATCACACTAGTCTACCTAGTAAAGCACAACAATTTAAAAAGCAGGCTAGTGCAGTGCCAGCTCTGGCAGGGAGCAGTGCTATCGATGTTTCAGCACATGATGTGATTGTGATAATGCTTGCTTTTTTTTCTCAATTTTATTTAAAATGTCACATAGTGACACCATTCGTGTCACTATAAAGCAGCACAATGCATTGCACTGCTGTGCGGTGATTTGTGGTGCCATCCAGTGCAGTGCTTAAATGTGCCGACATCAGGGATAACTGACCGTTTCGAAACTTGGGCACTGTCTGATGGCCCGGGGTCAGTAGGGGGCCCCATGAGATGCCCCCGGTACCTTTTTTTTTTATAGGCTTTTTTGAGTTTGGGCAAGGACACAGAGGCCCCATGATCCCCTATTGCCCGGGGGCCCCATGAGTTGTCAGTCCGCCCCTGGCCGACATGCTGCAGTTTTCCGCACTTCAAAACACGGCATTGCACAACAATGTTGCAGTGTGAACAAGGCACATAGAAAACCATTATTTTCTATGTGCCCCAGCAGTGACCTGCATTTATCCAGTGTGAAAAAAATGCATTTCACAAATATAGTATGAACAAGCCCCTAAGAGTTCATTCATTCCGTGTGCAATGTTTTTCCACTCTGCTGGATCAATGCAGGTCACTGCAGGGGCACATAGAAAAAAACAATGGTTTTCTATATGCTTTCCTCACACAATGCTGTATACATGTGGATTGCACTGCACAAGCTGTCTGCATTTTTACACAATGCAACACACATGAAAGTATGTAATCAAAACTAAACCAAATGTTTTTTAGTACTTTGATCCTTCCAGGGACCTGTCACTTAATGGACAACATAAAAAAATGGCAAAAAAAATTATGCCAATGTGCATAAAAACACAACATAATGCAAAGCAATGTGCATAAAAATTCATGTTGAATGCACATCAAAATATACACATTTCCAATGTATTGAGGTGTATTGAGGTGAGTTTTTATGGGCAGTATGCTGTGAAAGGACCTATATAGCATATAAAGCAAATCTCTATTCACACAGCTGTGACTTACAGTAATTAAAGGGGATTGCTGCCCTCTTGTGGCTAATCAACACAACATCAAAATACATAGCTAACGTAAACTTCTGTACACTGTACATACTTCTATCTGGCTAATACTATCATTATTATATTATAGCAAATTTAATATTTAAATAATGAAGCAAAAAAAAATGTTCAATTTGGAGGAAATTTTAAAGTGATATTAAGGGCAGATTTAAAAAGAAAACAAAAAAAACAAACGTCATCAGGGGCGGACTGACAACTCATGGGGCCCCCGGGCAATAGGGGATGATGGGGCCCCTGTATCCTTGCCCAAACTCAAAAAAGCCTATGAAAAAGGTACCAGGGGCATCTCATGGGGCCCCCTACTGACCCCGGGCCCTCGGGCAGTGCATACTTACCTGCTCTGTGCAGTGGTTTTGTACAGAGGAGCACCAAACCTCCTCTTCTCAGGTCCCCCTCCAGCACAACTGGCCCTTCCCTCCTTCTGGGTGCCCCCATAACAAGCAGACTGCTATGGGGGCATGCAAGCAGGCTCGCTCCCAAGTTGCTGCTCTGTGTGTTCATTCACACATGGAGCTGGGCTCGCTCCCACCCCCTGCTCTCCCCACATTGGCTCACTGGCTGTGATTGACAGTAGTGGAAGCTAATGGCCAATGAGGAAGAAGAAACCCAGAAGAGCCGCTGCTCTTGTGCACTGAATCGAGATGGGGCTGAGGTACGTATTAGGGGATCTGGGGGGCTGCTGCATGAAGGTAAATCTTGAGCCTTTACAACCACTTTTAATATATCACAAACTGGCTGAACATCAAATTAAATTATTATTATTATAAAGTATATCTAAATCTGAAAGCAGCTTTCAACTTACTAGTCCTTGCTAGATGTGGTGCCAGCATTAGTTTACTCAGGCATAGAACATTTTCAGCAAGTACAGAAAATATCTTTTTGCATAGATTGCAACTGTCCTGTCCTGTTCAGGAGGTCAGTATTTTCAACGTGAAACCAAAATCAAGAACACGGGGACATGTCCTTAACCACTCACCTACAGGGCACTTATACCCCCTTCCTGTCCAGGCCAATTTTCAGCTTTCAGCGCTGTCACACTTTGAATGACAATTGCGTGGTCATGGAACACTGTACCCATATGAAATTTTTATTATATTTTTGAGACAGCTAGAGCTTTCTTTTGGTGGTATTCAATCACCTCTGGGTTTTTTATTTTTTGCTAAACAAACCAAAACCCACTGAAATTTTTGAACAAAAAAAAAATGTTTTTTTCTTAGTTTATGTTATAAAATTTGATATATAAGTGATTTTTCTCCTTCACTGATGTGTGCTAATGAGGCTGCAGTGATGGGCACTGATAGGCTGCACTGATGGACACTGATAGGTGGCACTGATGAGGAGGCACTGGTAGGTGGCACTGATGGGCATTGACAGGCATCACTGATGGGCACTGAAAGGTAACACTCATATATGGCACTGATAGGCGGCACTGACTGGCACTGATAGGCGGCACTGACTGGCACTGTTAGGTGGCACTGTTAGGCGGCACTGACAGGCACTGATAGGCAACACTGATGCGCACTGATAGGCGGCACCGACTGGCACTGATTGGCAGCACTGATAGATAGCACTGACTGGCATGATAGATGGAACATTGCCATATAGGTAACACTGAAAGGCAGCTCAGATGGGCACTGATATGTGGTATTGATGTGCACTGGTAGGCACTGATATGTGGCATTGATGTGGCACTGATGGGCACTGGCAGGTGGCATTGATGAGCACTAACAGCTGGCATTGATGGGCACTGACAGGTGGCACTGCTGGGGCTACACTGATCATCAGGGCACACTGATCATCAGTGCCCTGATGATCAGTGTACATGTCTCCTCTGAGTAAAGCTGATTTCTGGCTCTCTTCTCCTCTCGAGCTGTCAGTGTGACAGCTCATGAGGAGAGAAATGCCGATAACCGGCATTTCCCTATTTACATGTGATCAGCTGTGATTGGACACAGCTGATCATATGATCGAGCCATCATCTTCGGCTCATTCTGTTGCTCGGTGATCCGCTGTGTCCGAAGGCCGCGCTGCATGCTCCCAGAGCCGCGCATGCACGGTTAGAATGGGAGGACGTCATATGACATCCTCCAAGAACGAGAGAACTGCCTTGCGCCCATCATTACCTTATATGGCAGGCGGGAGGCAGTTAAACTAACTAGAGGAAAGTTTAAAAACTAATCTTAGAACGTTTTAGTTTAGTGAAAAGGTAGTTGATGCTTGGAATAAACTTTCAGCAGATGTAGTGCAGTCAACAGTAAATGGCTTCACACATGCTTGGGACAAACATAGTTTTATACTCAGACAAAAAAAGAATTTATGAAAAAAACATGTACAAAAGGCAAAAAAAAACCCAATAACAAACTAAAAAAAAAAAACAGGAAGGCTTTGATGGGCCACTCTGTCTTTTTTCTGCCATCACTTTTCTATGTTTTTATGTTCTGGACTTTCTGGAACAGTCCCAAATTTAAGTCTCTGTCCTGGTGATGATGTGTTTTGAGATCACAGAAACACCCTTATGTAAGTTGCTGCGCATATGATTTAAGGGTAATACTAGGGGCATTGTGGCTGCAAGTGGGTGGTTCCTGCATGATTAGAAGTAAGATTTCCAAAAAAAGTGGGTGTAATCTGGGCAGGAGAGCTCACAAGTAGTGCTTGATATGTGTGGGACATGGACAGGTGTTGCAAGAAGTGGGATAAAGCTGTTGTAACTATGAAAATACAGTGTGTTCTTGTTACTTCCTTTGAGCTTAGGCTCCATGCACATTGGGCGTTTTGATAACGCTGGTAACGTTAGCTGTGTAAAATCACATTAACAACCTGAGTTTTGCAGCTTTTTTTAGCATTTTTGCATTAGCGCTTAGCAGAGTTTTGCCACAATTAGCGGCATTTTTCAGCGTTTGCATTTTTTAGTGTTTTTTTAACTAAAAAAAATTGTTATATTTGTGGTTGAAAAAACATCCAAAAATGCTGGTTTGCGGCATTTTACCGCGTTTTGCTGTGTTTTTCAGCGGTAGTCCTCATGCACACTTGATGTTTTTACAGCTGCTGTTTTTGGCTTTTGATGTTTTTTCTATAGCTGGTAAACCCCCAGCATGTTATCCTATGTGTCCATGCACACATACAAATAGAAATTCTGAGGACCCTCTGCACACTGGTATATACCCTTTCAAGCAGACTATGCAATAAATAGGGATATTTTGTTCACACATGTTGCAATACATGCTTAAGCTGGCCAACTGCGTCAAAGTGCATGCACTAGCTGTTGGGATTTGAGCACAGGGATCTCTTGCTTGTTGTATTGTTGGGTCAGTAGCCAGACCTGAACCTTGTAGCTCCCCCCATTGTGTCTTTTCCCCTATGCTAGCATTGTTTCCACAGTAACATTGGCGTAGGCAGAGCAGAGTAGGACTGATCATAGAGGGATTACTTTGACGCAGTTGGCCAGCTTAAGCATGTATTGCAATATGTGTGAACTAAATATCCCTATTTATTGCAGAGTCTGCTTGAAAGAGTATATACCATTGTGCAGAGGGCCCTTCAGAATTTCTAGTGTTAATATGTGGTTACACCCCTTTAGCACCTGATGGATAAATGCATGTACTAGCTGTTGGGATTTGAGCACAGGGATCTCTTGTTTCATGCACACATACAGTTGCAAGAAAAAGTATGTGAACCCCTTGGGATTACGTGGAGTTTTGCATGAATTGGGCATAAAATGTGCTCTGAACGTCATCTAAGTCACAACAATAGAAGAACACAGTCTGCTGAACATAATACTACACAAACATTAGATATAATGCTACACAAACATTAGATGTTGCCATGGTTTAATTGCACATAACATGTAAACATTCACAGTGCAGGGAGGAAAAAGTATGTGAGGCCCTAGCTTAATGACTTCTCCCAGAGCTAATTGGAGCCAGGAGTGAGCCAACCTTGACTCCAATCAGTGTGATGATATTGGATGTGTTGCTGACAGCTGTCCTGCCCTTAAAAAACACACACCTGTTTTGGGTTTACTGGTTTCAAGAAGCACTGTCTGATGTGAACCATGCCTCGCAGAAAAGAGCTCTCAGAAGACCTACGATCAAGAATTGTTGACTTGCATGAAGCTGGAAAGGGTTACAAAAGTATCTCCAAAAGCCTTGATGTTCATGTGTCCACGGTAAGACTGACTGTCTACAAATGGAGAAAGTTTAGCACTGTTGCTACTCTCCCTAGGCGTGGTCGTCCTGTAAAATTGACTGCAAGAGCACAGCGCAAAAATGCTGCATGAGGTAAAAACAATGGCTGCAACAGCACAGAATATGCCTTCTGGAGTGGCCCAGTCAGAGTCCTGACCTCAACCCGATTGAAATGCTGTGGCATGACCTTAAGAGAGCGATTCACACTAGACATCCCAAGAATATTGCTACACTGAAACAGTTTTGTGAAGAGGAGTGGTCCAAAATTACTCCAGATCGTTGTGCAGGTCTGATCTGCAACTACAGGAAATGTTTGGTTGAGGTTATTGCTGCCAAAGGAGGGTCAACCAGTTATTAAGTCCAAAGGTTCACATACTTTTTCCTCCCTGCACTCTGAATGTTTACATGTTATGTGCAATTAAACCATGGCAACATCTAATGTTTGTGTAGTATTTATGTTCAGCAGACTGTGTTCTTCTATTGTTGTGACTTAGATGACGTTCAGAGCACATTTTATGCCCAATTCATGCAAAACTCCACGTAATCCCAAGGGGTTCACATACTTTTTCTTGCAACTGTAGACTGTAATCAACGTTTTTTGGAAGGGGAGTTTTTTGGCTGGAAAAAAAAACCCAGGACTAGTGGGCTTCTAGATAAGTTTTTTAGCTGGAAAAAAGCTCTAACGCTGAATAACATGGTAAAATGCAGTAAAACGCAGCAAACCAATATTTTTGGACTTTTTTGGACCTCCTAAAATTTTTTTTGCTAAAAACAAACACTAAAAAACACAAATGCTGAAAAACGCCACTAAACGCAGCAAAACACTGCTAAACGCTAATGCAAAAAAGTTTTAAAAAGCTGGAAAACTCACATTTTTAACGTGACTTTACACCGCTAACGTTACCAGCGTTATCAAACCGTCCAGTGTGCATGAGGGCTTAGAGCGTTTTTACAGCTAAAAAAACTCCTCTAGAAACCCACTATTCCACTATTTTTTTCAGCCAAAAAATGTCCCTGCCAAAAAACGTTGATTACAGTCTATGTGTGTATGGACACATAGGATAACATGCTGGGGGGTTCACTGGCTGTAGAAAAAAAAATGCCAAATGCCAAAAACAGCCGCTGTAAAAACGTCCAGTGTGCATGAGGACTTAGCCCCAATCACTTAAGCTGCCCAGCTCTGCCTATTGCCATGTACAAATGACTCATGTGTGCACACTGTGTCAGCATTCACATGTAAATAATGGCTGCATTCATATATCATACAAGTGAGTGGGGGCTGGATGGTGACTCTGTGGCTTCCACCCGCACCTAAACACCAGAGCCCAATGCACCAGGGCTTAACACCCAGAGTGCATGGAGTCTTATATTAACCCCTTCCCGCCAGCACCTCCTGGCCCTTTAAGAGTTTCAGATGCCGGGAGGCGGGGCGGGTGGGTTGTGGTTTCCGCCGTGACGCGTCATCATGGTGGTCACATGATCGGGAAAGGTCCCGATCGAAAGAGCTTTCTGCGAGTACCGCACATGTGTGCGCAGGGCGCGCGCTCTCAGCACATATGTTTTTTCTTACATGAACGCAAATGTGCGGCCGCTCTGCGTCTAGGCCCAGATGCGGCTGGCGTAAAGGGGTTAAACAAATTGCTCATGTTGATGACATATATGGGACTTTAGTTAAGATCTATGTTGCCCTTTGTGTTTGTTGTGGACCTGAATCCACCTACATTTGAGGGGTAAATCATTTGCAAAACTGGTCAAATAATTTGGCCATTAAAGCTAAGGTCAGCCTTGATACACCTTTTGCCAATAAAGTGACCATGCAGAGAGGCGACCCAGTAGGTAAAACGAACGGATAAGCTTTAAAGTGATACTAAACCCAGGACCCTGCATTCACTATATCTGGTCTCCCACAGTACACACAACATGGAAGTGCAATTATTTTAGTAAACATAAACTGCTAAATATTTGTCTCATCAGCAGTTAAAGCAGTCTTGTGACTTCTATCAGTGTCTGGCAGAGCACTGGTTAAAGCTTGTAGGAGGAGTTTTCATTCTCCTCTCAGTGTCCTATGAGGCTGTATAACCCCTGACCCTCTGTCTGGACAGTGTGCTGATCATATGCACTCTCCCAAGAAAAAGAAAAAACTCTCTAGCAGTACACACCAAACTGAGCATGTGCAGAATGTCCCTGAGGCTGTCCCTGAGGCTGTGTGCTATCAGGAGATGAAATGGGGAATGTGGAAGAAAGGGAGGATCAGAGAAGACAGGATCAAACATCCTTTTTATACAATGTAGAGGATTAACCCCTTAAGTTCCACAGTGAGTATACCAAGCAGGGGCAGACTGACAACTCATGGGGCCCCCAGGAAATAGGGGATCATGGGGCCCCTGTGTCCTTGCCCAAACTCCAAAAAAACCTATGAAAAAGATACCAGGGGCATCTCATGGGGCCCGCTACTGACCCCGGGCCCTCGGGCAGTGCCCGAGTTTCCAAATGGTCAGTCCGCCCCTGATACCAAGCATGCTTTACTGTATATACAGAATGATTTTACTTCCAGTAACACTTTATAAATGATTGATTACTGTAGATGCCATGCCTGCAGATCATCCACTGCTATAATGGGGAAAGAGATAGTGAACTTTACATGTGTGCCTTTTGAAACAGAGAGCACCTCCTTGACTTTGTGCTACTGGAGAGGGTCCTGAAAACTAGCTAGAATTGGAATGGAAGCAATGAAGGGAGTATTTCAGCAAGACTTCAGGGAGTCCCTTGTCTCCATGG